ATAAAATCATGCACATGGGCAATTCTCTGATTATACCCGCATTTATATATATATATATATATATATATATATATATATATATATATCGGGTAAAATGGAAGGAAATTTATGAAAACGTGTCAACGTCGGCGGAGTTGTATTCGAGGTTTGTTGTTGCTCGATCGTCGACATGCCCGATGACGCCTGTCGTACGCACCATTCTGTCATCGTAACGTGACACAAGTACGATAAATATTCTCAAATACTCGGCTGCCTGTTACGATGATTTGTCGGGTAAATATAAATTCGTGATAATGTTCTTTAACGATCCACGAATAAAAAGTCATTCGCGTATGTTCCAATCCGTCGTTTGATTTTATTTTCTTTTCTTTTTATTTTTTTTTTTCTTGTTTTTTTTTAAGGTAAATAATTAAAGGCAAATAATTGGATCGAAGATCCAACGACGAAACAAATTCGACCAATTATATGATTTAACAAATTCATATCTTAATGTAACGTTAATTAATAATTATAATGTTGAAATAGTTTCAAAATGTTACAATTACTTTGATCTGTCATTATTATCGAATGCTAATAATTACTTTGAAAAAGTTAGAACGAAGTGGTAAGATTTTAACTTAATGATTAGAATTTTTGAATATCACTGTATGTATGAAAATTTAACAATTCGTTTAATTTAATTAATACGATATAATTCGATGATTCCCTAGATCTTTTTTTTCTCTCTTTTTTTTTTTCTTTTTTTTTTTCTTTTTCCTTTAAACGTTATAATTCTACGATTTAAATCTGTTAATAAAAATCTCTGTTCGAGATGAGAGCCTTCGTATGAAATTATTATTCGTGATTAGTATTCGTTAAATACGAGACAATAAGATTTTTATCGAAGTTAAAAAGCGTGATTTAGGGGTGAAAGTAAAATTAAATCTAATAAAAATAAAAAAAAAAAAAAAAAAAAAAAAAGAAAAAAAAGTATAACAAACAATTAACTCGATCAATAATTATCTCATTCGATTAAAGAAAAGAACGAAAACGTGACGTAGAAAATGTGCATTTAATCCTTGTCGTACAAATATCTGCAAATAATTTCAAGTATTGCACATGGGATGCACTTTACAATAAATCCACCAATCCCATAGCATTGAACGAACAGCTGTCATTTATACGTAATGAATAAATAATATCGAATAAGTGTTATCGTAACGAAAATACTGTATATTATTTGAAGCCTATTTGTGATAATGATAATCGGTAGATTTGAAAATTCGCGTTTTCGATTATATCATAAAAAAAAAAAGAAAAATAAATAAATAAAAAGAAATTTCATTAATCGTGCAACGCGCAAATTGTTTTTAATTGAGCTTAAAGTTGATATGGGGTGTTTCGAAACCCCATCCTCTACCGCTCCCCCTCCCCCGGACTAGGCTAGAATTAACATTAATTAAAAATATTTATATATACATATGTATATATATATATGTACGTAAGTACGTACTCATATGTATCACTATGTACATATATGTATGTATGTATGTATGTATATATGTATATATGTATGTATGTACGTATGTAATCGCGAACAAGAGAACAGGTCTCTAAACCAAGCCGCATATTATTATCCAATTGTGGTGTTTCCCCATTGAAAATCAAATTACATGTTCGTCGATGACGAGTTGGGACTGACTCTCTAGGATTTGATTTGCTTTACGTTATCCCTACGTTTGTTCTATCATTTTACTACGATAGATTTACACACGTTGCATGGTATTTTCATCGGACGTAACTGGACTCTATGCCCTGTAGTAGTATTCCGAGTATTTCGAGTTATCCGATCTGGATAGCTTCAAGAATCGATTGAAATTCGATTACGGTTCCGGTTTTGTTATTAGATATTAGGTAGCAGTGTATATATATATATATATATATATATATATATATATATATATATATATATATATATATATATATATATATGACGATATAACTTAAATAGTTAGGCTTTCAACCCCCTCCCTTATGTATGCATATTTATTATCGTTATAATATATACATATACGGGTTTGTTATTTTAAATATCTTCGAATTCGTTTGAAACTTCTTTCTTTCTTTTTTATTTATTTATTTATTTATTTATTTATTTATTTATTCATTTATTTATTTATTTATTTATTATGATACATCTAACGTTTTCATTGTTAAATAAATAAATGTATATATATATATACTTATGTTAAATAAATAATATAAATATATATATTTAATAATTATATAATTAATTATATAAATAAATGTATATATATATATTTTTTTTTTTAATCACGTTTCTTTTTATTATATTGACATAACGTTTCTATCCGTAAACATTTGCGTTCTTTTTCTTTGTTTTTCCATTTTCTTTTTTTGACGTTATTATATCAAAACTAAAATCGAATATGACTGAATGAACAAATGACGAGGAATATTCGTATTTATTTTCGGTGATATAAAGAGATCAACGTAGTTAGTATCGTTTGTAATAAATACGTAGCGGTATATATATATATATATTGCGTATATATATATATATAAGCGGTATATATATATATTGGGTGAACGGTTAAATCTCGGCCAATTTCAGTATTGGGGTGTATGTATGTATGTATGTATGTATGTATGTTATTCTTTTTGTTTTTTTATTTTTTTTGAAACGAAAGGATTGATCTATTAAAATTATTTCATATTATCCATGTCGATCGTACGAATCATTGCACCGCGAAATCAGATTTTTGATCATGGATATGAAAACGAGAACCAGTTTGGCACCGTTCAATTACCAAAGCAATAAGGGTTGGACGTAATTACTCTTCGATATTATTTCATTTCTTTATATATATATATATATAAATAATTTTTTTTATATTATATGAATATTTTTTGTCCTTACGATTTTTCGAATTACAATTTTTTCTTTTTTTCTTCAAACAAATTTCGTTATGAATCATTATAAATCGTTCGTGATTGGTACTTTGGTAAAAAGAAAAAAAAAAAAAATAATAAAAAGAGAAAAAAAATCCGCCTTTTAAACATCAACCCCCTTTTAATCGATCTGTAATATATTTTTCTTTATATTCGCTTTAAACTAATTAATTAATAATAGGCGTCAAATTATCCGTCAATTAGTATCTATACATAGAAATATATATACATATAATATACTAAACTTATTGTTACTGTATGAATAATTCGTCGATTTCATTTATTAATTAGATAGAAAAATCAATAGTCACATTTGAAATTGACGAAATTGGAAATTGTCAGAGCTTCTTACTTTTTCTTTTTTTTTCTTTTTTTTCTATTCTACCTAATCATTATAATTGTCTTATTGTTATTAAATCAATCGTCGAATATATTATAAACGATAGATATATAAAATTTCGTAAATTATATTCGTATATTATCCTTCGTGCAAAAGCTTGATAAAAGATATTTTTCAATTAGTAGTAATAGATAATGATTATGATAATGATGATAAAGATTATGATCATGATAATAATAGATAGATAATTTATTTAATTAATGCACATTAACTGATGATATCGTCAATGTGAGATAATCAAAACCGGCTAAACGTATACATATATTTATGTATGGTATAATTTATCTATAAATAATTATTTATTATAAACATACAGTATCAACTTTTCAATAATTTATATGAACATTTTCGAGTTTTGATTGTCTCCAAGTAATCTACCGTAAATGTAGAATAAATATCACTCTTTTTTTGTTATAGCAACTAATTAAAGCAGCACTTGGTATAGCATACGATGGATTCATCGATATCGAAAAAAAAAAAGAAAAAAAAGAACACATAGTACACACAGTACACATTATTTTGTTTTTGTCAAAATCTTATAATTCTCGCATTGATATCACCTTTTTTTTTCCTTTTTCTTCTTCTTCTTCTTTTTTTTTTTTCTTCTCTGAACTGATTTCATTTTCCGAATTATTCCTCTATCTTTTTTTTTTTTTTTTTTTTTTCCTTTTTTTTCTTGTCTTTTTTCCAACGTAATTTACGATTCATACGACGTATCATTGAATTAATAACTTATTGTAGTAACTATAAATAATTGGACATTAATATGGAAAAAAAAAGAAAAGAAAAAAAAAGAAAAAACTAAACAAGATATATATAAATGCCAATACGATTTATTTCTTTAGAAAAATCAAATTCACGAAGTCGACGATCGATTGATCACTGTACGCTTTCTTTGCTCCGATCATGACATGAAAAGGAAAAAAATAAAAAATAAAAAAAAAAAATAAAAAAAAACAAAAAAAAAACAAAAAAAAACAAAAAAAAAACAAAAAAAAAGTTGATAGGTGAAAAGAAAAAAAGGAAAAAAAAAGAAAGAAAGAAAGAAAAGTATGAGATAATTGGTATTATTAAACGCAAATTTTCAAAGCGCGCATATATCTTATTCTCCGTTCATGTTCGAAATGAAAATGAAGAAAATAAAGAAAAAGGAAAAGAAAAACAAAATTTTCAAAAGTCACGAACCAATAGGAATTTCACGACAAACGGAGTTCTTTTCTTTCTTAGCTTTTGTTTTTTCTTTTTCTTTTTCCACCCTCCACCCCGATCACAGATTTACAACATATTTCTAATGATTTTTTTTTCTCACCCTTACCTTACGAGTATACACATTTCTAATGATCTTTTTTTGTCTACCCTCCCCTTACGAGTATACACACATTTCTGATAATTTTTAACCGACCTATCCCACTCCCCCACCCCCCCCACCCCTGTACACGGATATATACATTTCTGATGATTTTTTTCTTGTTTTATTTCTTCTAGCTTTCTTTTTCCTTTTTTCTCTCTCTCTCTCTTTCTCTCTCTTTCTCTTTCTCTTTCTCTTTACAGTGAACGACCTAATTACAAGTATACCTTTTTTCTGTTTCTGTTTCGCTTCTTATGTTATGGATCAACACCCTTCATGGTTTCTGGTTTCTCTACGCAGTCCTTCAAGGTAATTCACAAGCTGCCTTTTCTATAGTTTTTTTCTTCTTCTTCTTTCATGTCTTTCTAGACTTCCATTACAATAAGAATCACCCGTTCACTATCGACCACTATATCAATCACTATTATCAACCACCATCACCACCATCACCACCAGTATTGCTACCACTACATCATTAAACATTACGATTCATTCACACTAACATCACTGTCGATTATTTCTTTCGACCTTTGCTTCTCTCCTATCATCCTTAACCCTTAACTCCCACCCTTAACCATCTTTTTCCCTTTCCTCCTCCTTTTCCTCTTTCTCTATCTCTCTATCACTCTCTCTCTTTCTATATATATATATATATATATATATATATATATATATATATATATAGAATATCTCCTTCTTTTTCTCATTCTTCGTATCATCGCTCGTTTTCTTGCACTATGTTCTCCCTTCTCTCTCTCTCTCTCTCTCTCTCTCTATTTATCAATCTATCTATCTAGTTATCTCTCTCTATATCTCTCTTTATATCTCCATTCCTGTGCACATTCTCAACCGTTGCAAGTGTTTCTTACCGTTTATGCAACCATTGCAGTGTGTAACCGCCATTGGATATATCTTATGAAACAATTAATCTTTCTTCTGCATATGTGTATATAAGAGAATTATGTATGTATATATATATATATACATGTTTTTGTGTAAACAACAATTGTATATACATTTACTTGTATATATGAATATTCAAAAGAAAAAAAAAAAAATATATATATATACATGTATAAACAAGAATTGTATATACATGTATTTGTATATATAATTATTCTATGTACGTATATATATATATATATATATATATATATATAAGAATATATAATTGTATGTATACTTATACATATATATATGTATATACATATGTATATATATATACATATAAATGTAATAAAGAAGAATCTAAAATAGAACAATTGAATCAATCATTCAATGTTTTAATTAAACTTACGAAACAAGCGAATTATTGTACAAATAATAATAATAATAATAATAGTAATAATAATAATAATAATAATAATAATAATAATAATAATAATAATAATAATAATAATAACAACAATAATAATAAAAATAAAACGATAAACGATATACCAATCGCGGTAAATAATGCAATTGGAGATCGCAAAAGCACATTATTATAGTTACGAGCTTTAGGCCTATAATAATCGCTGAGAAAAGGATACTATTTTTTTTTTTTTTTTTTTTTTTTTAATCAACAACCTTTCTTACCCCCTTCTCGTCGTCGTCGGCGAACGGGAAACAATATTATAAGACAAAAAAAAAAAGAAAAAGGTAAATGAAAGTTTCGATCGTGCAGTTAACTTATTCTTCACGATCTTTACGACCTTTGCGACCTTTGCGACCTCCTCGACGAGGGTGAAGAAAAGGTTTTAACCAATTCGCTCGCTCGCTCGTTCGATATATCCTGCAATTTTTGCATTATATCTAACGTAGGTGAAAAGCTATTTTCTATCTTCTCGCTTTTTTTACTATTGGCTTTTCGCCATTTCAATCTACTATATAGCGCCTTATATATGGCACCGAAGCGTTTGTCGCCACTCAATTTTCTTTTTTTTTTTACTCGCACGAAGTAAACAAAAAAAAAAGCAAAAACAAAAAAGTAAAGAAAAAAGAAAGAAAGAAAGAAAAAAACGACGACGATCTTTTCTTATTTACATTCCTTCTTTCTTGTTTCGTCCTTTCTTTCATTCTTTTTTCTTCGGCCTCGTAAACAATCCCTATGGCGCTATAAAAAAAAAAGAAAAGAAAAAAAAGAAGAAGGATTTCTGGAGCCAAATTTTCTTCTCTCCTCTCCTCCCCTTCCCTTATCCCCCAATCACCCTTTACTCCCTATTTTCCCTTCCCTAATCCTTCTTCGCAATTTTACCTTCCAATTACTTCTTCAATCCTTTCCTTTCTCTTTCTCTCTCTCTCTTTCTCTTTTTCTGCCTTGTATGCATGCTAAATATAGGAAATAAAACCCGCAGACACACGATATTTTTATATATACAGGTTGCATCACTCAACGTCGTCACTAAAAATATATATATATATATATATATATATATATAAAAATTATATATATAATATATAAATATATATTCAACAAAAATATTTCCTACGAAAATTTTCTCGACGTCTAATTAAGTTTAATGTAAGATGTGGTATTATTGGTTTGACCTTAAATCAAAGATCGTTCTAAAGGTTACATTTGCATTTCTCTTTTTTTTTTTTCTTTTTAAATGGAAACTGTATATTTTTCCTTTCTTTCTATTTTTTTTTTTTTTATTTTTCTCCTCTTTATTTTTTTTATTTTCCAGCATATTCTTACGTCCGAGGCAACGAAATGGTTTTTTTTTTTTAACGAAACCGTAATTTTCAATCGTCTTTCGTTCAAAATTTTAATCTTGATACCTGTCGTTAATTTATCAAAATGTATTTAAAAAAAAATGTATTTAAAAAGAAAAAAGAACAAAGAAGAAGAAGAAGAAAAGAAAAAGAAAAAGAAAGGAAATGAAAGAAGAATAATTAAAAAAATAAAAAAAAAGAAGAGAAAAAGAAAACGAGAAAGAACATATAAAATATATATTAAAAATTGATTAAATATTAAAAAGTCAAATACTTATTAGTTACATGTTATTGTGAAGAATTATGACACGTGAGTCATAATAGTAAAATGAGACGCAAAATTTTCGAAATTAAAAAAAAATCAATCGTGTTTGATAATCTTAACGAGAATCAACGATACTATCTTACGTTCACTTAGAATTCGTCGATATCTTTTTTTTTTTTCTTTTTTTTTTTTGGAAAAATTTTTACAATCACAAAACGAAAATATTCTCTCAGAAGTGAATAAAATTATTAACTGATTCACACCTGTATATATATATATATAATATTTCCGTGCACGTTTCCATTTCGCTTATTGCAAATATTTAAGTATGTATATCGAAAAGTTATATTCTACGTGATTAACATGTATGTATATATGTATGTATGTATGTATGTTGTATGTATATATGTATATACGTATGTATGTATGTATGTATGTATGTATGTATGTATGTATGTATGTATGTACATATTCTATCACGTAATCGTAACCTCATTCATACGGTTATAGATATATGGACGTCATATAAATAATATAAACTGGAATAGTATTTATGGTAATTGAATGGGAGAAATGGGTTGGCGTATGGGGCAGAAGGAGAAGGGTGGGAGGGATTGGTAAGGATCGTAAGAGTAAAGTAACAGGGATTGGTTGGAGAGGGGAGGGGGGTGAAGGTAGGTCGATAGGGAATGGTAGGATTTGACCGGTTTATCGAGCGTAACTTCGTAAAACTTTGATATTAACGTCTCGTCGACGAATGTTATGTGTACGTAGATACATTAAATATGGACGACGAAATGTCAATGAAATTATTAAATATGGATATGGAGGTGGGACACATTTTGTAAAATCTTTTTCTTCTTTTTTTTCTTTCTTTCTTCCTTTATTTTTTTTTTTAATAATCACCACTTCCTCAACAACGCGTGTTTCTTTCCTTTTTTCTTTTTTCTTTTTTCTTTTTTGTTTTTTGTTTTTTCTTCCTCTTCTTCCCCATTACTAAAGACAATTGTGATCTTTTCTTTTTTCCTTTTCTTTCTTTTTTTTTTTTTTTTTTTGGTTTTCTTTCTTTCTCGATTCCGTGTTTGTCTATGCGAACGGGTTTATATTTCAAATATCGACTTTTATGTAAAAATTGTGATTCATACGTGAGTTTTATAGACACTTTTCATGGGTTATAATACCCATGGTCGCGCGGTTCGTTTGCTTTTTTTTACAATTTGTCTTCGAAAGAGGGAAAGGAGAAGGAAAAAGGAAAAAAGAAAAACTTCTTCCTTATATATTTTCATTTTATAGGAGCGATAAAAGTGTCTCATGTGATACGTCACGTATGTACGTCAATTCCCTAGCGTTGATCTTCGCGTAAACTACGAATACTACACGGGAACTTTCAACGTAGGCTTGCGTGATTTTCTTGGGAAAACTTATTTTATATACAATATATATATATATATATATATATATAAAACTATAACTATAACTGTATGCTAGAAACGCCATAAGTGAAAAGGAGAAAACTTTTAAATAATATTTTGCGAAATAAATATAACATAGAAATAGGTATTGAAAAGTGTAAGACAAGTTTTGAAAAAGTTTTAATAGATATAGATAGTTCCAAGCGCGATTGGAAATATTGACTAGGTATATATATACATATATATACGTAAAAAAAAAAAAAAAAAAGAAAGTAAAACAAAAGAGTAGATCCTTCATTTTCTCAATTTCTATTAAAAACGTGCACAGATTCGAAACGTTTTTTTTTTCTTTTTTTTCTTTTCTTTTTTTTTTTTTTCTTTTTCTATTCCTCTTCTTTATTATTATCATTATTATTATTATTATTATTATTATTATTATTATTATTATTATTATGATTATTATTCCTTTATCTGCACTTGTTATCTGCCAGCTTTCTCTGAAATAGGCTATATCAAATTGTACGTTATAGAATATTAGAGAGATTATGCATGATCTATGTGTTAGCGTTAGCAAATAACAATGTTATTATTATTTATTGTTAAAATAGAAAGAAAAAAAGAAATTATTTAATCCACTGCAACCTTAATATTCTCTTTCGTAGATTAATAGTAAATAGTAGTAAACAGTAGTAAATAGTTTAGATATACATACCAAGTGTATGCGTGTAACAGGGATTACTGTGTGCATGTTGCACTCTAAGAACAACAACAATAATAACAACAACAATAACAACAACAACAACAACAACAAACAATCGTCGGATTGATTTTACTATTTTTTAATCAGATATCCCTTATTGGATACCGTATATACATTTGTAACTCTGAACGATAATGAAAAAAAAAAAAAAATAAATAAATAAATAAATAACAAA